ACACACACACACACACACACACACACACACACACACACACACACACACACACTAGTGCTTTTTCCTGCTTTAAAGAAAGCGCTGGCGTTGCTCCTTGACCTCTTAGTTTTGCCTCTCCTTCTTCCTCTTAAGATGATACATCGCCCAGCCAGCACATCCTCTCTACTGTGCTGGTTGGGCTCCTGCTGCTGGTCATCATCATACTGCTGCTCTGGTACTTCCTCAGGTAAGTAAACAAACAAACAAACAAACAAACAAATAAATAAATAACCTCCCCACCACTGACAGACTCGCCCTTGCTATTTCCTCCCTGGCTTCCATTTGACTGGTGGTGAGCCAGGCTCAGGGGCAGAGCTCAGGGTGACAAACACTTCCTCCTTTTAGTCACTGAGGTGGAGCCCAGTCAGGAAGTGCTGCGAGCTGACTCCCTCGCATGTTTAGTTGAGAACAGAGCAGGCTGTGGCAGAGTGCAGAACAAATTCTCCACTAAACCCTGACTTCAACCAAGACATCAGCTAATGAGAAAAAATAGCTTCTCCCGCTTACAATGGTAGGATGTAGAGATTTTTGCTCATGGATAAGCAGTATCTCTTAGCTATAGTTGTATTTTTTTTAAATTCCTTTATATAATCCTTTTTTTTATTTCATTGTCTCTCATTTCTTACTGTTTTTTTTTCCCTCCCCTGCAGGTTAAAAAGAAACCAGAGGAAAGCAGTCGTCACAACAGTTGACAAGAAAATACCAAATGGCATCTTGGAAGAACAAGGTAATGTTGTAAATGGAAGGCTGTTAGAGGCTGATTGCAAACTGTTTGACAAGGTGACTGACAAAAGATGCACTGAGACAAATTCTTGGCAGTTAAAAGATGCTGAAACGAGGATCACAAACACTTAAAAAAAGAAAGAAAGAAAGATAAAGAAAGAAACCTGACAATGAGACAAAAAAATGTGTTGAGCTTTCCGTTTGTGACTGTATGTATAGGTTGTCGCACCATTTTTGTGGTTGTTTTCTACTTCCTGTGGTTCATGTGAAGAACGAAACAACGTCCTATCTCCATCAACATTTAGAGCTTTGTGATGCTGTCTGTAAAGTTAGAATCCATCACTTAAATGTTATTTTAAATGTCAGCCGACTTTCTAGGAAATGGTTCATGTTGAGGGTTTGTCCACATTCTTTAGGTACCAATGATTCCAGTTCTGGAACAGTTGCGATGTTGTGTAAAATGTGAATAAAAGTTATGTAGCTGTGAATCTCAAACACATATTTTAATAAATTTAAAGTAAGAAATTGCACCATTGTTTTGTGAAAAAACAAAGTCATTTTGAATGTTGTGGCAGCGACACGTCTCACAACATTTGGGACAGTTTTTATCACCGTGACGCGTCTCTTATTTTAATAACAGTCTGTAAAA